TATGATATCTTCAAACATATATTTTATTCAAAAATAAAAACATCATCGCTTTTTCAAAATCACATAAAGTCATATTATAACATCGACTGAGATAAAAAATAAAATGAAATATTAAAATCACGATGTATCTCGCTGCATTGCGCGAGTACGCTTCTAGTAATAATTAAAGGGGAAATTAGTTAAAATAATCATTTTCATACTTTGGATTCATTTCTTTCTTAATATTTCAAAATATCATTACCTCCACAAGTGACAACTTCTTAACTTGCGTACGGGTAAAAGTGTAAAAAAAAGTTTCTGAACCAGGTAGACAAGTGCAGAGACCAAATCTTTAAATTAGTCCCGACACCTCCACAAATGGCAGAAGTGCCTTTATCTAATTTAAATATTTGGTCTCTACACTTACAGACCAAAAACCTTCTTCTACATTTTGACCCCTCCCCAAATTGAGAAGGTGCCACTTGCAGACCTAGTGATAATTTTGAAATTTAGGGAGAGAAATAGGTAAGAGATGAATCAAAAGCCTGAAAATGACTGTTTTTATTAATTTTCATAATTAAAGGGTGGATGTAGGGAGTGGATTGAAGATGCTCTAAAACCTATTTCTTAACTCGGTACCTAAGTTACCAGTAGATTCCAACCTCACAGAAAATTAAAAGGGTCGAGCTTTATCAAATGTGAGTGCTAGTGAGTTTTTGCGTTTTGCCAAAGATGAGAAGTGCATACGAGAATTGCCGTCAGGTTTATGGATTTTGGATTTTGGATTTTGCGTTAACCGTAACCAATAAAACCAGAGAACTAAACGAGTTCACTTCCAAACTAACTCAGGTTCTACATTTTTCTAAAACTTGTTCCGAACCAGAACTGAACTGATATTTTCAAATTAAAACGACCCAAGTCTATATTTGGTTACCCAGTTGGGTTTTCATTTCCGCTCTCGTTCGGATTTGGGACCAATGAACAACCCTAGTCTTTTATGTATATAATATTCGTAAACAACAAATATTCAGGCATGCTCCTCAACTTTTTTTTGGCAAAAAGTTGATTACCGGCAACCTCAACTGACCCCACAAGGAACCTGCCTCCCAATACATCAACGTGAGGGCATTTTTTTCGGCTAAAAGCTAGTGGAGGGCCTAGGATCAAACCAGGTCCTATATTTGGGCAAAGTCACCCACACCTTTGTCATCTGAGCTACATGCTCTGCACCTTTGGTAAGTATTGAATGCTCGATCTTAAAAGACTAGGATCTAATAAACCAAGTACCGCTAGGATAATGACCCTCTTTGATCTCCCACAATTTGGAATCTGTAATAACTACAATAGAGAAAATGTCGTCTATTGATCCTCTTAGCCAATAACTTGTCTATACTTTGACAAATATCCTACATTCGAGTCGTATATTCATATACGTTTAATTTGACTTAATCAAGGTTTCTACGCAAAACCCTGTTTGTTCGGCATAATCAACACTAAGATTTGGTCACTCGACTCAAGTTTGAAGCAAGTAAAAGCAATGAATGATCTCTCGTGGCACTTGAAAAACACAACAAAACAACACTATGCGAAATGCTGGTCAATGTCCAGTTAAGATCATTGCAAGTAGTAAGAGTACGAAACATACTCAACTTATCGAGTCTGCAAACTAATAAACCCAAACCAAAACCAAACAAGCGAAGGATATCCCACTTGGAAGTGTAGTCTATGGAGGGTAAGATGTATGCAGACCTGACATCTACCCCAAAGAGTAGAAAACGAGACATACCCAACTTACCGAATTTGCAAATGAATATGGTTTTATAATCAACACAAATTAAAGTATGATGAGGTATCTTGTTCTATCTATCTCCCATGCTACTGTAATATCATAAATCACATTGAAGGAAGATCCAAATTATATATAACACAAATAGTACAGGATTGGATTGGATTGAAATCGTACCTCGAAGCGAAGGATTCTTATATTGAACACCAGAAAGAATTTAAAATATTGTCGCTAACGAAGATCTCCAAATTTGATCTCAGAACTACCGTTTTTGAACGAATCACAACAAGTCTTTGATGAAATCGAGGTTTAGTGTGTCTCGAATGATTAGAAAAAGACCAAGAACGAAAACAAGCGTGAACCCGGATGACATTATCCCTTGCTCTACTTCTAAAGGGAGTTTTCTCCCACCTCTTATTGCTTCCACAAGAATTAAGGCCAAAGAACCCCCATCTAAAGCAGGCAAAGGAAGAAGGTTAATTACTGCAAGATTAATATTCAAAATGGCTGCAAATTGGTACAATCCATCGACGTTTGATTTCGCAACTTCTGCACCTACTGCTATGATGGCAACAGGACCCGAAACCTTGCTTGCCGATTGTGAAAAGTTAAGAAAAGTCTGTTTTAAACTGTCCACAACATTAAATGTTAGACCCCAGAATTCGCGACCCGTGAAACTAAAAGCTTGCAACACATCTTTCGGTTTCTCCTTCAAAATCCTAACGTTTGGTGATAACTGAACACCGATTCGGCCACTGCCATCCATATTCTGATCTGGGGTGACGTTAATCAAGAAATCTTTCCCTCCCCTATTCACCTTAAACGACACCACTGATTTGGGGTTTTTCTTGATGATATCAACAACTTTAGAAACAGAATTCGGTACGGTTTTGGGCAATTCGATCTCGTTAATTGATAGAATCACGTCACCGGCAAGCAACCCGTCTCGGGAAGCAGCAGAAAAGGGGCGAACCTCGGGTACAATCACACCAGGGAAGGCTTCTTGAACAGGCAATCCAACAAACACTATCTGTGCAAAGATTATGATATATGCAAAGACTATATTGGCAATGACACCAGCTGAAATAACAATGATCCTATCGAGTATAGGCCTATTCTTCAACAAATTCTCATCATCTACTGGGATATCACTATCAGGATCATTATCAGGAAACCCTACAAACCCACCTAAAGGAAAAGCTCTTAAAGAATACTCGACATTATTAGCATTGAATTTAGCTAAAATAGGACCAAAACCAACAGCAAATTTACTTACACGAATCCCCTGAAGCTGAGCAGCCAAGAAATGACCACTTTCATGAACAACTATGATGGCAGTCAAAACCGAAACAGCTTCGATTACAGACTGAGCACTCTGAAATCCACCAAAATCAAACCCAGCTATTGCTGAAGCCTTGAAATTTTCCCTATTTCTGATTGAAATTCCAATCTTTTCATGTAGAAAGTGTCTTTTGTCGGGAAAAGTGAGATTGGAAGATGGGTATGAGGAGTAGTAAGGTGTTGAAGATGGTGACGGTGATGGTGGTAAACTTGAAAAGAGGTGTTTGGGTTTGTTGTTGAAGAATCTGATGGTGGAAGAATAAGAGGAAGAGGGCATAAAAGGGGAGAGGTTGGTTAACATGATGGGTTTTGAATGTTGAAATGGCGAAGGGGTTGAGGTTTAATGAAAGAATGAGAGAGGAGTGGAGAAGAGAGATGAAAGATCAGGGAGTTTGGATAATTCCCAATTTGGGGTATGTGGATGGGAAGTGTAGTGAGTAATATGTCTCCATTAACTTGTGTTAGATTTCATTTGGGTGTACATACATTCAAACGTTATTTCTATCTGGTCTCTTCCGGTTTGGGCTTTAGGATTTTGGATTTTCTGACAAAAGGAGGATTCGTATTGTTGCTTCTTGGCCCAAAATAGTTATGCCCCCGTTTTAAAGGCTACGAGTACTATATGTAGCATTAATAGGGTAAGCATAAGCTAGTATCCGTCCTATTTGACAGGAACCGAAATTGGAACCGGTGGTTCTTGAGATATTGGAACAAGAACCGGTTAGAGTGGTTCTTGAATTTTTGGAACCGGTTCCGGGTACTCACTTCATAAAATATTAAAATTTTGTTATTTAGAAATAAAAAATAAAACATTTGCAAAACACTAAATAAATAAACAAGAATACAAATTATACGGAATAATGATTACAAATATTGTTTAATGATTACAAACCATAATAGACTAATAGTAAATGTTGAAAGTTTAACGATTACATATTATAATTGTAAATGTTCAAAGTTTAACAATTATGAGTCGATGAAGACAGTCCGTGAGAGGCCTCAAGCCTGAGAGTATGAGTCGATAAGGCGCAGAGGTGGGACCAAAAATCTAACTAGAGTTATAAGTTCTTGACCTAATTTAAATTTAGTATTAAAAAAAATTAATAGATTTTTTTAATTGAAAAATATCGGGTACCCGCCGGCCATTGGTTCCGGTTCAAGGTACTCGCCGGTTTCGGGTACGCGGTCCCGGAACCGGTCCTGGCGGGTAACGGTTCTAAAAAATTGAGGACCGGAACCATTTTTAATCGATTCCGTATTTTAGGAACCGGAACTAGCAGTTCCAAAGCAGTTCCGGTTCCGTTGCTCACCCCTAAGCATTAATGATGGTCAAAAACCGGTTCCGGACCTCAACAGTGTCGGTCATAACTGGTCTGGTCAAAAATACTAAGCCTGGTTAAACTTTCCTATAACCGGTTATGGTTAACCGGTCCCGGTCCCAACCGATCCCGACCAAAAAAAATATATATATTTTTTAATTTTTTTAATGATAGATTTTTTTAGTACATTATAAAATTTGTAATTAGTTCATTCAAATACATTTTAAAAATGTGTTTTATTATAATTAAAACCGAGAATAGTGAACGTTTTTTTTTTTTTTGCGTTTTGTAAGTTGATATGTAAATCTTCCAACCATGACACTTATATATATGGTTTAGAAGACAAAAAAAACCAAAAAAAGATCATATAACGACTATATTTAAAAAAAACGACTACTTTTAAAAACCAGCCTGGCCCAGTCTGGTCCTCGATCTTTGGGCTGGTCCCTCGAAACCCTCCAAAACCATAAGCGGTCCCGGTCGATGGTCCTATAACCGGTCCTTGCCGGTCCCGGAGTTTGGCCATCACTATGTAGCATGACCTTTCATCATTTTACCTAGAGTGCCTGTGGTTTATAACTTAATATTATGTGATTTAACATTCTGGATCCATATTTTAAAATATATATGGATTATATCCTTACAGTTTGCAATTTATAATCTATTGGATCCCTTTTACTAACTCTTTTTTTTTTTTCCTTTCAAAAAAATTATGAATAACTCAGTTTGTTTAAGTTTATTTTTTATTTTCTATTAAAACCAAAGGGACCAATGTGGTTTTCTATTAGAACCACATCTCATCGTTTCATTCCTACCCCCTTCGCCACAGTCCTATTCCCGTGAGCACTACCTACCCACTTCGCCACAGCCCCTCGCCTTTCCTTAATCTCCAAATGTTTCTAGCATTTTGATTCAAAAACCAATTAGCAATCTTTTTACCTCTTTAGAGTTCCGAGCCAACTCGAGTCTTGACTCATCCCAACAGCCAACAGCCCCACTCCAAGACGCGCTAACTGCATCATGTTCGGTATCATTGACTTAGCAAAATTAGCTCCTAAGACGAACATAGCAGACTATTAATTTGGTACTTAACATATTAGAATCAAGATTGACCAATTCTTGGCACTACAAAAGAATACTAGTTAGAAAGCAGGCCGACCAATTCCTTATATAATTCCATTATGGATAAATCCTGATTTATATTGTTTCGAATCTATTAGACGGCAATCCTAAGAGAATAACCTTGTTAACCACAAGAGAAACAATAATCCCCTTGTGGCCACGGAGGTTCAAATGCGGTGACTCTGGACTATTTGTAAAGCAAGTAGTCGTCCTGAGATTAGTCGGCTTGTATATCCAGGTTAATAAAAAAGAAAAAAGAAAAAAAAAAGAGAATAACCTTGTTCTAAATTAGATGCAAAAGGAGACACAAAAACATTTAATTAACAGAATCAAGAACCATGCAGATTCTCTCTCTCCCTCCCCTATATATATGGAGTAGCTAAACAGTTCATTTCACCACCAAAAGCAACTCATCTCCCCTTCTTGGGTTCCTTAGCTTTCCCTCTTATATCCATCCTGCTGTTGTTCTTCCTATTTAAAAGAGATGGGGAACCAACTTATACTATTCAGCCTTTTAGCTCTCACCTTTGGTTGCCTTGCTTTAGCCTACGAGCCTAAACCSCTTCAAGATTTTTGTGTAGCCGATCCCAACAGCTCAGGTACTGTCTTTTACAAAATTACTCATTCATATAGCTAGTATCCACATGGTATAAGAGTCTGAGTCTAGTAGCACCTGGGGGCTCCACACACAAACATTGTTCACATGTATATGTATAGATAGAGAGTGTGTTTGTCAGTCTGTGTGAGAGGTTTAGAGAAAAACCCCAAAGAATCAAAAACTGAGTAACACAATAGCAATCATTCATACATGTAATTGAAGATGTTTCTTCATTTTTATGCATGTTATGTGCGACAAATTACTAGTATGCACATGTGCCCGTATACACATGTGCATACGATACTCATAAATGATTATTATGACGTTCCTTACTTTTCATTTTTTGTGGTTTTCTCGTGAACCTAACACACACTCTCTCTCTCTCTCTCTATATATATATATACACGTGTGTGTAAAACCTCCCTCTTATTGGAAAAGGTTTCATGTTTTGAAGAGGTTCCTACACATGTAAAGTTTAATGGCCGGCCCACGTTTAGTTGATGTGCGACTTCAAGAGAAAAAGATTTGTTAGGTTTTTTTAGTTTGATTTTAATTACCATATATAACATGCTTTGATGAAATGAAATATCGTGTTTAATGTGCAGTGAAAGTAAATGGTGTAGCATGCAAGAACCTGATGCAAGTTCGAGCAGAAGATTTCTTAAATATCGTGTTTAATGTGCAGTGAAAGTAAATGGTGTAGCATGCAAGAACCTGATGCAAGTTCGAGCAGAAGATTTCTTAAATATCGTGTTTAATGTGCAGTGAAAGTAAATGGTGTAACGTGCAAGAATCCAATGCAAGTTCAAGCACAAGATTTCTTCTTCAGTGGGCTACATCTCAGGGGTAACACATCGAACCCTCAGGGATCAAGGGTGACCCCAGTGTTTGCAACTCAATTGCCAGGGCTAAACACTTTGGGCATCTCAATGGTTCGGATTGACTACGCACCATGGGGACTCAACCCTCCTCACACCCACCCACGAGCCACCGAGATCCTTACGGTTCTTGAAGGCTCCCTACAAGTCGGATTTGTCACTTCTAATCCCGAAAACCGCTTTATCACAAAGGTACTGCAAAAGGGTGATGTTTTCGTGTTCCCAGTTGGACTCGTTCATTTCCAGCGCAACATTGGTAACGGGTATGCAGTTGTTATTGCTGCATTGAGTAGTCAAAACCCAGGTGCCATAACGATCGCCAATTCAGTTTTCGGTGCAAATCCTCCGATCCCAAGGGAGATTCTAGCGAAGGCATTCCAAGTCGAGGCGAGCATGGTGGATCAGCTACAAGCAAAGTTCTAGGTTACAAAGTTCAAACTGGCCTTGGTGTGATTATTTGATTTGATTTGATTCATATTCGAATTATGTAGTGTGCATTTTGTTTTCAAGTTCTATTGGTATCTTGTTTTGTGTTGATTGATTAATCAAATGACGTAAATCCATGTGTTTTTGTGTATGTTCACAATTATTTGTTCTATTTCACCATGTTATAACAACAGCAGCACCCTTTCAGGCTTAAACTATATATGATATATACATCAAACATTAGATGACAACCACAAGGTAGTTGTCAGAGGCCCCAGGGATGTGTCCATCTGCTCTGGGTTCAATTTTAGACGTTCACAACAACTGTGGCCACTGAGTTTATCAAGGTTGATGTCCTATGCAGTCACAATTTGCTGGGATTAATCTCGGCATAGCCCAGTACACCCTTTTAAAAAAAGAAAAAAGAAGATGAGATGACAATAAGATGCACTAATGGACAGTAGAAGTTTGTTCAAATATGAGATGCTGCACCAGTCGACCTGCTTATGCCATTGATCATGCAAGCTACAGCTTGCAGGGCTTGGTCGCAGGTATATTCACGTGGTCAGGTTGTGAGCTTGGCTTGAAGCTGAAGGTAGCTTAAATGCCATGACACAGATTTCACGACTTGGCCATTCATGGGTGTGCAACCTAACCTTGCTAGGCTAAGTCTTGTGGAAAGCTGTGGACTCACGGTCACAAGTTCTGCGACCAAGGAATGGGATGGTGCAACATGACCATCTTGTTCGATGGATCGCGTAGACATATTTTGGGAACAAGGCGACACTGGGGCGTGCCTAGGTCACATGCGTCTATTGCTCCAAGTTTAAGGACACCATTAAAATAAAATTTCATATTAGTTATTTTATATAACATACATGCCTTATAAATACAAATGACCTATAAAATAACTAATACGACATTTTATTTTAAAAACGTACCAAAAAACTTATTAAAATGCCTAAAAGTATCTTATAAATTTATTGTAACACTTTTAAATGTGTCGTTTTTTTGTTGTTCCTATAAACTTAAATTAATCCTATAAATTATTTTATTAGGACGTTTACATATTTTAGGATCATATAAAACCAACTTTGTTGTTGTTTCATTTTATCTTGAAAGTACTCTTGTAACTCCCTTTTGATCAATGATATCGAGATTTCTCTCCCTATGGACATACAATATTACCCAAAATAGTAAAACTACGGACACCTCCCCCCCCCCCCCAAAAAAAAAAAACCCAAGAGGCTTATGGCCTTGTGACATTGTGTTTTTTTTTTATAACCACGGGAAGGGGCGGATCCATAAANGGTGCCATAACAATCGCAAATTCGGTTTTTGGTGCAAATCCTCCTATTCCAAGTGATATTCTAGCCAAGGCATTCCAAGTTGATACTAGTATGGTTTAGCTCTCACTTTCGCATGCCTAGCTTTAGCCTACGAGCCTAAACCGCTTCAAGATTTTTGTGTACCCCCCCAAAAAAAAAAAACCCAAGAGGCTTATGGCCTTGTGACATTGTGTTTTTTTTTTATAACCACGGGAAGGGGCGGATCCATAAACCTCTTTGGTGGGGGCATACTTTGAGGTGTAAAAAACTTTCAAAACCGAACCAAAACAGTTTGGGATTATTTGTTTTTGGCTTTAAATAATTTGGTTAACCGAATAAAGATAACTTGTTTAGTTCATTTTTCACTTAACTTTTTACTATTTCATTTTTCGCTTAACCTTATGTATATCTTGAGTAATCTTAGAAGACCCTAAAGTTTACCGTCAAACAAACCTCTAGTGGTCCTAAGAGGCTCTAACCGAACTACACTAGGGGGTTCACATCATGTTCCATGTCATTAATTTTGTAAAATCAGCACTTGAGAGAAACATGGCAGCCAAGTTGGTGCTTAACATATTGAGATTAAGATTGACCAATTCTTGGCACTACAAAAACTACTACATGTTAGAAAGCCGGCTGACCACTTCCTTATCCAGACTGATATGATATATAACTAAATCCCAATATGGGGTGCAGATATTGTTCTCAATGTGTTAAGACGGCAATCCAAAAAGATAACCTTAATTAGTTTAACTTATATGCAGAAACAAACAGGAAACATTCAATAAACAGCAGGGTCAAGAACCATACAGATTAGCTCTATATATGTGGAGCAACAAAGCAGCTTCTTTCACCATCAAACACACCCCTTAGTTGGTTCTCCTTCCCTTCCCCTCTTATATCATTTTGCGGTTTCTATTCCGAAAGCTAGAAGAGATGTCGAACAAACTCATCCTATTGA